GTCCAGGGTTTAGTACCTGAATTGCAACCAAATGGTGGCATTGATCCTTCCTGCCCAGCGATGTTTCCCTTCGTGTCTATTAGTAATCACAGCTGTAACCTGGGCCTCCTAACGCCCCTGCAGTCCCGACCTCCGAAGTCCTCTGAGAACTGGACGTTTTCTCACAAGTTGGTATCAGATCTCCTTTGGTGGCAACACCTGTTCCTGTGAATGTTCATGTTCTGATGACTTTGATTATAGTGTGTTATCTAGCCCTATATTACCTTGGTAAAATCTATAACGTGTGAAATTTTGAAATCTGTATGATCCCCTGGGTTTTTTGGTTAAAAGATCATGAACCCAGATAGCAGCTCACATTTTTTGAGTACTTACAACAGCCAAGCCCTGAAACGCGCCATTGTTGGGCGAGGAGCCCGAGGCTCAGAGGCGGATCATGTTCCTCGTCCCAGTGGATCTTGTCCCAGTCGATCTTGGTCTCACAGCAACCCCATGAAATATGCCGTTGTTGGGCGAGGAGCCCGAGGCTCAGAGGTGGATCACGTCCCCGGGCGCCTCACTAGTTAGTGTGGAGCCAGGCAGTCTAAGCAGAGCCCTGCTCCCCAGCCAGAGCGCGACCCTGTACTCAGGCTGCTGGGGGGGAGGGAGAGGGCTAAGTATCTACCTCCTGCCAGGTGGACTGGGAGGGAGGCTGCTCTGTGACACTGCCCAGGGCTCAGCAAATGACAGGAGACATCTGCTTGCTTTCTGCCTGTGGCCTGCCACGCGCAGCCCTGTGGAGCTTTCCTTCCTCTGCCTCCTCCCCACCCTCCCTCTGTCCTCCCTTCATCCCTCCAGCTTTGCCTTGACTATTGTACTTGCTTTCCTTTCTATCCCACTCTTGCTCATCACTCTTTTCCTCCCTCCCTTTGTTAATGACATTCAGAGGTTTGTGAGGAGGGAGGAGTAGCTGTTAATCTCTAAGCAAAATTGTTCCTTTCCCAGAAGGCTAATTGTTACATAGGTATTTATGTTTTCGGGTATTTAACATCCAGTGATGTTAAATAAACTCTGAAGGCAGCAAATTAGTGGAACATCCTGGTTTTAGATGGTCTGAAAAGGAAATTGAAATAAAAAGGAACCCTTCCATTTATAAATGTGTTCTGCAGTGTTGTGCAATGTGAAAAAACATCCATTTTTTGTACCTTTCTCTTTCCAGATATACATAACAACCAAGCGCCTACCCTACTTCCCCGTTGTCAACTTTCTATTTCTGATCGCTCAATTGCCAAAACTTCAGTACAACAAAAACCTAGGTATGAGATGAATCTGTTATTTGCAATAAGTAGCAATATCAATAGATCAATAACTAACAAAACAGCTCTTTGTATAGAATGCTATGTCACATATGAGATATTTTCTTAATTAGATCTATGTTTATAAAATCTATATCTTTGGGCCTCTGAAACTTAATGCCCCTCCATGAAATGGGGACAGTGAATTTCCTGTCAGCCTGCCATAGTTCACCTTTATTTCCAGTGGTTAATTATTCAACTTGTAAAAGGTGTGGGGCCTTGGCTTCTTTCCTTTCTGTAAAGTTTAGGCAGCTGGTTACGGTTCTGCCTCCTGCCCGCCCCCTACTGGGGATCAAGCTTACATCCCAGGCATGTTCCCTGACTGGGAGTTGAACTGTGACCTCCTGGTTTATAGGTCGATGGTCAACCACTGAGCCACACCAGCCAGGCTCATTTATATTTTTTATGTCTTTAAATTTTTCTACAATCGCATGCTGTAATTATATAATCCAAAAGACAGAGTGATGGTAGTTGTAAAACTGAGTAATTGTTGTATCATGTTGAATCCTTCAGACCACAAGCAGCCCCCACCAATCCCGGGTCTAACTCAAAATGCCCGGGGTTATTATTTTTTCCAAATAGTCCCGTGCCAGTGAGGATGTGGCCCAAACAGGAGCGTCCCTACTGACAGGACGTCGTCAGAGGCCAGCCTTTGACCTGGTGGTGTAACTGGTGGTCTGCGGTTCCTTGCAGGAATGGTCTGCCGGAAACCTGCCGACCCCGTGGACTGGCCCCCGCTCGTCCTGGGACTGCTCACCCTGCTGAAGCAGTTTCATTCACGGTACACAGAGCAGTTCCTGGCACTGATCGGCCAGTTCATCCGCTCCACAGTGGAGCAGTGTACCAGGTACGTAGGCCAGGAGTGCATGGGACCCGTACGGGAGGGGCATGCCCTGGTTCACCAGGTTCCTCTCAGTACCTCGCCGGGCAGATGGGGATGGGCTGCTCAGCCTGCTCAGTAAAGCAAGTCAGGGCACATCTCCTTGTTTCAAGGAAATTAAGGTGGGCCCCTCCTTAGTTGCCCTGCCCAGGGTGCTCCAGGTACATTCACAGGGATGTTGCATGAATGAGTCACTACCATGATTAGTGCTGGGATGCCTCTCTCAGACCTCAGGAGCCTTCGAGCCTGGCTGGGCTACAGCCAGGGACAGCTCCACACCCTCGGTGGGAGGTAGGGAGCATGTCTGTCAGATGCTGGACACAGCTCGAGCCCCGAGCCCCGGTGTGTAATGAGACCGAAAGCACACCCCAGTTCCTACTGAACACAAAGCTTCTAAACCTTTCATTCTTCCCCCTCCCCAAAAAGTTATTTGCGTGAGATGCTGGGTCCTGAGCCTCCTTCTCTGGTACCCTAATGGCTCAGCCCGGCTAACTGAAATCCTGTCAGGTCACACATCCAAAACCTGGGAGATTACCACCTGGCCACACATGTCGGTGTGACTTAAAGACAGCGAGGATGGTCTTCCCAGCCCTCTGCTGATCGGACGTCATTTCAGAGGCCATTTTTTCTGCCTCCTTCCACAGGCATGGTCAGCTCTCAGTGTCCCGGGCAGGTAGTCATCCCGTCTCCCCTGGGACACGCCCTTCCATGAGGCACTCATTACCCCTCAAGGCAACACCAGACACTGGTAGAGTCGTTCTCATCATTGAAAGGTTCCCGATTGCACACAATAAGCGGAAAATGCCCTCCCATCTCGGAAACATCACTCACTGGGCCTTCTCCGACCCTTTTATTAGACACGATTTCATATCCTGACTGGGGGTCTCCCATGTGCAACGCAGTTCATCGATCCAGAGTGTTCTCTTACAGCCAGAAGGTCCCTGAAATGCCTGCAGATGTTGTGGGTGCCCTTCTGTTCCTGGAGGATTATGTTCGCTACACAAAACTACCCAGGAGGGTAAGTGATAAATACAGAACAGCATGATGCCTTTTGTAAAAAGGTGCGATTGTGTGGCCCCGACTCAGAAGTGAAGTCCAGTAGCTCATTCTCAGGGGATGCCTGTCCCCTCACCACTGCTCTGCACACGGCTCTGAGACGTCCTTCCTTCTCCACCATGCTAAGAGCTTCGCAAGGAGACAGAATGTCTGTCATACCCCTGGCAGCAGCTTCCCCAGTTGAGGAGGTGAGATGTGCAGTCCAGGAGAGAATTCCTTCAGTGCCAGGGTAGAGAAACAACCAGGTGTGGTGTGTTCTCTCCAAGTAACCGGGTTAAGTTCATGTTACAGCTAAAGTTACATATGACCACTGTTCCAAAAATGACACACCTCTTTTTACCTTTTAAGAATTGTTTTCCTATGTGTGTGTATGTATATGTAATCTGGAAGAATTCAATACAAAATAATTATCAGTTTAGTTCTAAGGGATTGAGATCAAATTCTTACACTCCTGCATTTGTTAAATTTCCTCTAAATAGCAGGTGATACCTTTAAAATAAAAAAAATTAAGCACTGCTTTTAAAAAAACACCAATTTCTAGCACCTGGAGATTGCCTAGCTCCACACCCCACTCCATCCCACCTCTCAGAACAGCTCAGGATGCCTATGTGGGCCTTCTCATCCCCCTCTGGCTTGGTCACTGGCCAGACTTCCTGATCTTCCTGGAGATATTACCTCTTAGTACTTCCGAGCAGATCACAGTGCCTTTAAGAGTTCAGGTTTGCAGGCAGGGGGAGCTGGGCAGCATCCCCTGAGATGTCAGCAGTGCCAGGAAAATAGGCACCAGGATGGAGAACACCAGGAACAGAAGCGTGGTCTCAAGGCGTGGCTCACCCCTTGAGGCCAGTGCTCCCTGGGATTCCCCCTGCTAGAAGGATATCCTCATTTCTTCAGTTTTCATTTGGGAAATGTTGCACATGTTCTGAATAACACTATGAATAATTTAACTCGTTTTATTATTTCAGGTTGCTGAAGCACACGTGCCTAATTTCATTTTTGATGAGTTCAGAACAGTACTGTAACTTGATTTCTTCTACTTTGATGAAAGGAGTATCCCTAAATCTTCCCACCATCACTAAAATGAATTAAGAGGATGAAACTCAACTGCTCATATAAACTGCATGTTTTCCCTTTATCGTGGGAAACATCAGACATTCTGAGTAAGATGTATCTCATGGAATAGATAATAGACTATTGTTTAAATCATGGTATTATATGCAAATTATATCATGTAGAACACACTTTTGTACTGCCTCTTTAAAAATGCTGAATGTACGTATAAATCCATTTAGTTTTATGTTCTAAAGAACTATTTGTGCAGCTTCAGATTTTCAGTAAAATAGTATTGCCAGTACCCAGTGCTCCGGTTTAGTCGAAAACTATGTATTCACTGTGCAAACACCTTGTCTGGAAGGTCCTATGGACACACCCAGGACAGGCTGGTGGCTCCTAGTGATAGTCAAACTAGCAGCAAATGCAGTGATCACACAATCTGTGGACTACAGACTAAGGAAGTTTCTTAGTGTCTGTGGCTCACAGTCCCTCTTCTAATCTCAGACACCCTCAGGGGTTCCAGCATCTCTTCAGAGAAAGTGAGTTTTTAAACAGAAAATAGAACTTTGGGAACGAAGGGAATGAGTTAGCCGGACACTCTGCTAAATCAAGGCAAAGTGATGGATGCAAATGAGTCCACTAGTAAGTTGGCCAGAGAAAAAGTTTTTCAACCAAAAGAATTTAAAAGTTAAAAAAGATAAAGTTTTATTATTAAAAGCTTACATGTGATTTTAGCCCTGATCATTAGAATCTAAAGTCATTACTTAATAGTCCAGGTTATATTTTACTACTCTGATTTCAGGGGGAGCATTACTGATATTGTGATTAACTCATGTCTATAATCTTTTCAAATACACCATAAACTTGGAAAAACATTGGTTTTATGGCATTATACCAGGCATTACAAGTGCTTTTTATTCATTCACTGTTTCTTGAAACAATCCTAGCCTGGCTTATTAATGCTCTCCAGTGGACCTTATAAAGCCCTGGCTGCTTTCCTGTATGAATGTATAAGTGTGATATTTTCTAAGAACTCAGAAAAGAACCTTATCACACTGTCTCCCTGGATAGATGAGGAAAATCAGGTCCAGAGATTTAAGGCAACTTCCCCCCAGCATCAGCGTCAGAACAGGTTTCCCTCTGCATTTTGCATCCCACTGTGGTCTTCTTTTCCATCATCCTGAAGCTACGGAAAGAAGTCCACAACAAGAAACAAAACAACCTGAGGGTTCTTCATTTTATTTGTATGTCCCACAGTAACTTATTCCAAATACTGAATTCAAAAGAAAAACTGTTCTCAGTGTTAGCACTCATTTATGGTAACAATCATTTCTTTTGAATTGTCTTATTTGACCCTTCATTTTAAATTGAAAATTAAAGTATATATTTACATGTTTATATACAAATAACTTCAAAAACAAATTAATTCCAGTCTTGGTCCAAGAGTTTCCAAGAAGTGGTATAGTACCATACTGCATAAATCCTCTTCTGAAAGTCACTTAGGACTTGGTGAGTTCCAAATATTCAATCACAAATGGTCCCTCTCTTTAAAGAACCAAGTACTTCATTTCTGAGTAAATCAGAGGGAATATCACAGAACATGCTTTGTAAAATACAGCACCACTACTGAAAATGGCTCGGGGTTTCGTAATCCAAGGTTCTGATTTAAAGCAAAAATATGTGGCATAGATGGCAACAGCAAAGAAGTGTCCAATTAAACTTAGAGGATTAGGAGAGAGCCTGTAATAGAAGAAAAACAAAACATAAATATTGGTAAGACACAGAAATCAAATTTACTAGAAAATAGTTTCAATTGTGTATATGATCTATAAAGCTAAATAAATATTCTACATTTTAGAGGACTCTATAAGCTTGTGTCTGCCTGCTAAGTTTGATGCAGGGATGAACTTTTAAAACATATTTTTACAAGAAACTACTTGGAATATACCTGTCAGAGAATTCAGTAACCACTCTTAGTCTAGTTTACACGAGTCCTATGTTTTGAGTTGTTTTCTTTCGGTAACCTTGAGTCTGGCCTATGGGACTCTGACATTCAGATTATAGAAGAGAAAAGACAACATCTGCACTGTGAAAATTATCACTGAGTTTCTTGAGTGCCTGCACTTGAATGGAATTAATTTTTAAATATAAATTTTTCAGTCACCCAGGGCTCCCATAGATCAGATGTGGATGAGCCCACAGGCAAAAAACAAGTTTCTATTTTAATCAAGGGTTTTAGCCTTGTCTACTGACAACTTCTAATCAATGCTGTTTCCCCAAATAAAGCACAGGCATAAATGTCTTTTCTCATTTCTCTGGGAATCCTGATTTGCATACTAATGGATAATAAAATGACAAAATCTATAAGGAGAAAATTTTGCAGTAATTCTTAACAATCCTAAGGACATCTGGACTATGTTCCCTTTGTGTCAAAACAACTTACACAGAAAGCAGCCCAACAGGACCAGCAACACACTCTCCGCCAAGTTTGAAATATAAAAAACAGGCTTTTCTTAGCTGATGTAGGGAATCTAAAATAAAATTTAAAAATTACTCTCAATCAAATTATTTATACATTTATGTTAGGATGCTAATGACATATCAGAATAAAAGTGTAACAAATATCAAACCTATAATTTTTTTTTTAAATCTAGTCCTGAAATTTCAACAATCTAAGATTTCTTTTACATTCCACAATCAACATTATGGATAGTGATATGAATAAACTTTTCTGTTAATAAATAATGACTATACCAAAAATGTAGGTCCCAGAAGTTAAAGTTGTTTAAACTATTTCCTTGATTATGTTATAAATTCATTCAATGATGCAAAATATTCTGTAAACTCTTGGTTATAAAATCACAATTTTGGAAACCAAATACCTTGTCTGAGATGCCCAACCAATACCTTTAAGCGGTAAATTATCAAGTTAAAAAAATAGCTGTGAATAATAAAAAATGTCTCCTATTTGTATAGCTTTTTACACTTTTCAAAGTAACTCATTAAATACTCACAACATAGTATAATCAATCCATAACCTATTTTGATAGTTTAGAATTAATGTTCTTTTCAGGTCTGCCTAGATTTTTTTCTTAACAACCAATATAATAGGATACAATAGGTAAACTTGTACTCCAATATGCCCAAGCCGGTTTGGCAGTGGATAGAGTGTTGGCCTGCGGACCAAAGGGTCCCGGGTTCGATTCCTTCAAGGGCCCATATCTCAGCTGCAGGCTCCTCCCCAGCCCAGGCCCCCGTCAGGGCTTGTGCAGGAGGCAACCAATTACTGTGCTTCTCTCACGTTGATGTTTCTCTCTGTCTTTCCCTCTCTCTTCCACTCTCCCTTAAAAAAAAAAAATCAACGGAAAAATATCCTCAGGTGAGGATTAACAAAAAACAAGCTTGTACTTCAATAAAGCTCTTTTCTTCTCCAATCTTTCATAACTTTTTTATCACAGATTGACAGATTCAAATTCATAATGTAAGAAACACAACAGCTTAGAAAAGCTTTAAAGAACTTAGGAAAACTCAAAACTGAGTTATTTTTACTTGCCCAACCAGACATTTAACTTCCTTACCAGTTAACGAGAGAGATTTGTTTGGCAAATCACCATCGCTGAGTTTTTTTTCTTTTAACAAGAATGATGGTTATAGAGGTTACAGAAGGCATTTGTAGTGTATTATCCTTTGTAATCAGATCACCAAACCACAGATCACTAAAGGCTTTGGCCAGGTTATAGAAATAGTGTTGGGATCTGAAGGAATGGGATCTGAGTTATATTTACTCTTGAAAACCTGAAGGTCTAGTTTCATTAACTGATTTGTACACTGCTGTGGTTGGGAGGTAACACTCTTGCCTTCCCTCCATTTCTAACACTGCTTCTGCTAAGTCATTTTTTCCTTACTATATAGATTGACCACCATCTCTCTATAGGAATATGAAAACAAAAGCAGGGGAAGATTTCAAATAAGCAAAAGGTGGATGCGTTCTGCTACTTTGCATTTTTAAAATATATATATTGATTTCAGAGAGGAAAGGAGAGGCGGGGGAGAGAGAGAGAGAAACTTCAATGATGAGAATCACTAACTGGCTGACTCCTGACCACCCCCTACTGGAGATCAAACCTACAACCCAGGCATGTGCTCCAACCAGGAATAGAACCGAGATCTCCTGGTTCATAGGTTGACACACAATCACTGAGTCACACTGGCCGGGCTGCCTGTGCATTTGATGACAAAAACAATGTTACCTGGAGCTCACATTAATTTCATAAAATTCTATTTGGGGTAAAAATGGAAACTAGTGTTTGGGAAGAAAAATGAACAACTATATTGCCTTTTAATTCATGACCATCAAGATTCTCCATTACAATCTTATGCATCTGGTTTGGACCAAGGGAATTAAAAGTAACAGTACTTTATCAGTGTATTGCTTTTAGGGTTGTCTAAGGGGAAGACGGCAGCCATGTCTAACAGATTCATGATGATGCTCAAGGATGGAGTTAAAAATGATTACCAACCTGAGAGTCAGGAAACATTTGTTTCTGGCCTAATCGCTAAATTTTTTATACTTCAATTCTGTTCCTCTAATAAAAATCTATAATAATATTTATTTTTTTTAAATCTGCACTTACCATCTTTTGCAGAAAATAATTCATAAAGTGCCTGAGCAAGGATATTCACAACAAAGGAATGAGACATTTTTCTTGACCAATAGAATGATTTTTTGGCCTAAAAAAGGAAAAGATCACTTATTATATGGTAAGGAAGGAAAAAAAAAAGCACCGACTGATTTTGTCATCCCCTCAAATAGATATTTATCCTGAGGTCCACGGAGAATTATGCCCTGTCAGTTACCAAAATGTCTTCAGAGCAATGAGTTATGAAGCAAAGAGTATCACTGCAGCTAAGTTTACAATCGGTATGAGCAAAGTGGCACATGCAATCAAGTGTTACCTAATATTCAAAAACAGAAATTGAGATTCTCTTAAGATTCACAGGTTGCCCGTCAGGTTCTATAAGCCTGCATAGGTTTGCATAAGAACCATTAAGCATCAGATCTCCCCATCAAGGCCCCATTCCTCTTAGGCCCTACAAAGAAATCTATTTTGAGACTTTTTTGTCAGAATAATTTAATCTCTTACCTGGAAAATAGCTGCATCATCATAAAGATCAGGGATACCCTTTAGCAATTTCCTCCACAGTTTTATATCTTTAAAAACAACACTCATTCCTCCTCCGGTGAGAGGATGCCTTATATTATATGCATCTCCCAAAAGAAGAACACCTAGAAAGAGGTAATTTAAAGTATGACATCATCCTGCAGCATCACTTGAGACCAAAAAAATAAAAGTATGTTAATTTACAAATGTTATTGATGGGAGTTAGTAAATAGTAATGTGAAAATAACAAGGGTACAGATCATGACTAAATTTTGTTGAGGCAAAAATTCAAGTGTTGATTCAGTCAATAGCTACTGGATATCTAGTATGTGCCGGATACTGGGAATACAGTGAGAAAAAGCCTATGATCTCTGCCCTCATGAAATCCACATGCGAATCTAATATTAAACAATGTCAAGACATTTATAAGGCCTCTTTCATGAAAAATAAAATCAAAAGGATCTACAGGTATCCAGGCATAGGAAACAAGTCTTCTAACAAGGGGGGGAAAACCAAGCAGTCATGGACATTTCACAGCAATATTCACTGCCAGCACATGACAAAGAAATGTCTGTACAATTCTAAGGAAAGAGGGTAGGCCTAGGAAGATTATATCAAGCCACATCATAGTTCAAGCTGAAAGGCATCAGGGGAGATATTCTCAAAACCATCAGAAGTTAATCCAGGAGAATAAACCTTGATTGAATCTTATCTGAAAATTAGGAAGCTCCACAATTTGCCTCTAGATGCACCTCCTGACTGCTGCCCGACTGAGATTCCCAGTCCATTGTCAGAATTATGGATAACTGTTTTATTAAATAATAACTAAAGCTATCATAAACTAGTTTTGGTATTAGTAATGTGTTAATTCATGGAAACCAATTCTCTGTCCCACATGTTATTCCCAGCAGCATAAATTTAACCATGTATTTGTCACTTGGAATACTGAATGTGAATATTTGGAATACCATTTATAAAATAAATCCAATAAAATAATACCTCGTTTGTTTACTGATGAAGGAGGAAGGAAGCTAGATGGCATAGACCTCAAACGAGAATTCTGCATGGCTTCTAAGAATGGTTCTTTCAAGTGATCTGCAATAAACCCCACCCCACCAAATAAATGGTTTATAACATTTCAATTACCAGTTACCACATTTTCTTATCAAATATAAAGAAATAACTACTATATATCTGTTATGGTTGTTACATATATTCCTTGTGATAAATAAAAAGCTAATTATTTTATTAATAAAACTGTTTATTGAGCACTTATTCATGCTAAGGAATGACTAAGGAATCTTAAGAGAAAATTAATGTAAAAAGAAATAAAGCTAAATAAATAAAAAACTAGATGAACAGTGAAGCAAATTCAGATGACATGAGATAGGGAGAAAACTACCTGCCTCTGCTCCAGATGTTAACTGACAGCTGTCATAATTAACAATTTATTGTCACCACCATGTTCTGGTAATATCAGATGAAATATACTAACATTTCACAAACAGCAGAAGGCTATGTATACTAGAAACAGAATTTAAGTAATTAAGTATAAAAATATTTCAAGAATTCAAAGACCTTACATTGCTAGCCAGACTACTTTTAAAAATATTAAAATTTTGTCAGTAATGGTAATTATTCTGAAAACTATGCTTCATTGATATGAAAAGTATATCGAAACTATTTTTTTTAACGTGGAGATTTTCTTACGTGCTAGTTTAAATAAATAGTTCAGCTCCAGTATATCTGATTGGCTGGATGCATTTTTCACCTGCCAATCTTATCTCTGGCCTGTTTTTGTTTTGGTTTGGTTTTTTCAGTTTTTGATGATAATTTATATTTTATAATATAGTATACAAGACTATTTGGAAAAATTAAAAATAGAAAAAATCTAAAATTAAACAAAATCACTTAGCTCCATAGCCCAGACATAAACAAATTATTGGTGTATCTTTTATACATTTGTTCATAAATATCACTTAAAAGGATTATAAAAATCTAAAATGAATATTAAAAAGAACAGTATTGAATGGTATGAAATAAATTAGTTTTCTGTCCAATTATATTCTCTCATCTTTCTTTGTATATGCAGTAGATTTAGACCATTTCTATTTTTATTCTTTTGATACCTACTTTCATGACTTCAATAATAATTTCATAACTCCATTAGAGATTTATCAGAGGATACACACTATGAAAGAAACTTAGCTCACATATACTAATACCAGTCTCTCCTCTAATTTACAAATTTTAGTGAAAATATATTGGCTTTCATTTGCTTAATATTAATAGTTTTTCATGATAAACAAGTATATTTCATTAATCCAATAACATTAAATATGTATATTTTGACTCCCTATTAGGTAATACATATAAATGTGCATCTCCAGGAATCCTGCCTTTTTTGTCTCTACAAGTTGTGTCAATTTATCCAGGGCCACAGTTGATGGTTTTACAGACAACTCCAGGCAGTTCCATCATTCATAGTCATCATACATTTGTATAGTTATTGCTGTAAAGTCTCTTGCAGATGGGGCTGCTATTTCATAATTCACACAAATATTCCATTTGGCTAAAAATAGATAAAACTGATAAATTATGTGCAGTGTATTCTGCAACTGTAATAAAGTATTTTGTTCATATGTTTATTCTGGAATCTGAAAACCAGTAAATATGATAACTTTGTAAATTTATTGCCTAGAATTGGAAATGTGGACTCCTATGTGACTAAATCTGGCCTGCTTCAGACACAGCGTTAGTGAGGACTGAAGATGAAGAGCCTTTTGTGAGATGTGCTTTCACACTTAGATTACAATGAAAGTGAAATCCTATTTCTTACCAGGTAATTGTGGGTAAATTTTTTCAACCATGTATTCTCTTAAATTCCTTGGCAATTCTCCTCGAATGTCAACAAGTACTCGAGTTTCATGAGATGAAATCTGGTAGATGAGAACTGGGTTTGGATTAAGTAAAAGAAGTTCAGCATGATTTGCTTTAAATTGTGGTGCATTCTAGAAAAAATAAAATGAAATATTTTAGTAATTTTAGAATTTCAAGTTGCTTTTTTTTTTTACAATCACACCCCTACAGTAAGTACCTCCATAAGAAAGCCAACAAAATGAGATGAAACGGAAACTTTACTGGAGATCAGGTTTTTCCTAAACTTGGAAAATAGTCCATCTGCAACAACAGTCAATGGAGCATGGAGTTCCTACAACAAAGATAAAGAACATTCAGCTAAGCAGTTAGAAATACACAGTAAAAGGACCATTCTTTTAAAATGTGCATTAACAGATTTAAATATGTTACCGGATAACATTATAGAGGATATTTGAAGATAATACTATTGAGGAAGCTGTTATGTGGACTGAGGTTAATGCATGCCCAATTTAGAGACACTTCCTGAAGTCTCTGAAGATCACCTTCCTCTAAAGCTCTACCATCCAAACCATCTGGGATTAAGCTGCACTTGATAAACAATGAAGAAAACCATAAAGCAAGCATAGCCAATAGAAGACTGAAATCCCATTCATTACAAATTCCAAGGGCAAGCCAATTTTTTGTATTCTAGAACTTCATAATTGATATAGTACTTCAATCAGTGGCTAGGACTTTGAAGAGTTTTTGTGTGCATGGGTGTACATACAATTTATTATTACCTGGCAATCACCCTCATTAGAGTACAATTTCTAGGAGGGGGTGAGCCTGTAGAGCAGCTCAGAAGAATCCACAGATTAGCCTTTTACTAGGCCAACAGAAGCAGATACTGGAAACTATTTTCTTCTGCTATTTCCTTAAATTCTCTTACTTTTGCCTTTCTTACTTAAACGACTGTTTCTTTTAGCCTAGTCATTTCTTTTATGTTGAATCCTTCCTTTACCTTCCAGTTCCCCTCGGCTTCTCTGCTAGTGTATATTTCTCATTCAGTTTTTAATACTGTGAATAGAGTGGTGTTTGTTTGCAAAGTTATTTATATAACCATTCTGAGGTGCACTAAAGACAATGTGTTACGCTTAGGAAGAACTCAACTCCATTTGTTGAGTAATAATTTACTGAGCCCACTTTTTTAGAGGAGGAGGAGAAAATGAAAGAGGAAAATCTCTTAGGAAAAGCTAACACCTGATATATCTCACCTTGATGTCTCCGGTTTCTTTATCCCTGTACTGAACTCCAACCACAGCATCATCTTCTTCTAATAACTGGAGCGCAATGCCCTCAATAAACTTCGTACTAAAAGATAGATAAACAAATACATTCTATAGTAGCTCACTGGAGCAATTTAAGTAAGGACTCATAAATTCCTTATCCCTCATCTTATTTACCCACGTAAACTGGACATGCATGTGGGTGCACACACGTACATAAAAAAAGGTATGGAGTGACAAAAAAGGCAAAAACATCATTAATGATTTTTAGAATTATGTGTGGTTTTTAATATCTAATTTTTAAGAACTGACATTACTAATGTAATATTTTTAAAAGTAACGTTAGATTTTTATCTCAATTAATTTACATGCAAATACACTTAACACCCTCAACCAATTCATACACAGATGAGAATACAGAATTGAAGTTTATCCAGCAAATTATTCAGAGTGGTTAATACTAGTCAGAAGAATCATGGATAATTTTTTAAATCTTCTTTATATTTTGGGGCACTTTTCTACAATAAAATTTTCTAGTTCCATAGATATAAAATCCTTTCAGTCTTATAAAGATAAAATCACTTCAACACTTAAGCTTATGCCAATGACATGAGGTTCTCATATTTTAAAAGTTCCTCAATTATAATGTTTAAAGGCTAGAGGCAAATACAAGTTAATAGAAAAGAGAAGAAGCCAGTCCTGTCACACTAGGTCATTCATAACAATGGAACAGGGACTTTCCCTTGAAGGCCTCTGTCCTGATTTAATAGGAAGTATTATAGTCACAAACCCTAACTCCCAATAGACACACATGCACTGACTTCAGTTACAATAACTGTATCTTCTCAATTCCAACCACGTAACAATCCCACAATTTATTTATTCAAAGGAAAATTCACAACAGTTCCATGTCATTCCAAAAATAATTCTCTATATGATATTCTTAATAAATGCACTGAAAAGATTTAACACTCTTCTAACTTATGGTTTATTTTAGCATAAGACTATGGTCTAGCCCAGGGGTGGGCAAACTTTTTGACTGGAGGGCCACAATGGGTTCTTAAACTGGACTCCAAAAGCATGGATGGAGTGTTTGTGTGAACTAATACATGTTAACACTGCAACTGGTGAAGGAGCGGAGGGGAGAGCAAGAGAACCCTCCGCTCTTTCAGCTCCGCGGGCCGGATAGAACAGCCGAACGGGCCGTAGTTTGCCCACGGCTGGTCTAGCCCACATCTGAACACTTACAGAAATTTATAAAATAGTATTTGTACTTAAATGTTAATTCTTTAACATTATATATTTGGAGCCATAGTCTTACTTGGGCTCTGCCATAGCTGCCTTACGGAGACTCATGATGAATCTTCCATGATGGAAAGCTCTTCCACTCTGCACTTGATTGTCTTCTAGCAGAGGGTAAGGAATCTGAACATCTGATTTGCTTTCCCGATCATGAATTATGTAGCCATGTGTAACCTGGGCATCAATACCTTCCACTGTATCTACAAAACAATTCCGTTAAAAAAATCAATTTTGTTAATATGCCCAGAGTTATGGTAGGCATGAAGAGAACATGAAGGCATGGAAAGTCTGTTTCCAAAAAGGCAGACATTTGTGTAACTATTTGAGAAATGTTAATGCTTCTGTAAGATGATACTCTGAGCAAATTTATAGTATCACAAAAGATTAATATTTAAATATAAAACTCACATTAAAATCCATAGGAAAAATATTAAGACCCAATAACAATGGGTAGAAAGTATACAGATGATTCACATTAAACAATCTAGAAACATTGAACATATCAGAAAAAGGTTCAAAACTTGATTTAAAAAAATAAATTAAAACAAAATACCAAATCTATCAAAATTGCTGGTAAGATTAGAGAAAATTGATAAATTTATATATTATTGGTCATGTGATAAACTAACAACATTTTAGAAAATAATAAAGCAATAATTATCATAAAGTTATCCACTGACATTATACTAGTAATCTTAGTCTTGAAAATTCATCTAAGACATTCACCCTGAAAATATAATTTTTAATAACTTTTAAAGTTATATACAAGAACTAGAGGCATGGTGCATAAAATTCGTGCACGAGTGCGGTCCCTAGGCCTGGCTGGTGATCGAAGGACAAGCGTCTGGTGTGGAAGGGCAGGTCCCAGCTGACCTCTGGGCCCTAGGCAGCACCTGGGTCCCTGGGCCCCCGTGTGCCCCTTGGGTCCCCGCCAGGCTCCCTCAGTGCCTGGGAGCCCCGTGTGCCCCTTGAGTCATTGGGTCCCCGCCAGGCTCCCTCAGTGCCTGGGAGCCAGGCAGCAGCCCGCTCCCATCCGCCTTGGCCTGGTGCCGCCTGTCACCTGCTCCACCATCCCACCAGGGTTCTACTCTCATCGGGGCCCATCGGGGCTGGCAGTGCCTCCACGGCCACCCGCTGCCAGCACCATGTCGCCAACACCCACCATGTCCCACGCCACCCCCTGGTGGTCAGCACACGTCATAGCATGCGGTCGAACTCCCAGTCAAGGTGACAATTTGCATATTAGGCTTTTATTATATAGGATAGGTTCACTACAGTGTTATCTATAATAAAAAACCTAAATATTAATGTAAGTTAGAAAGGTAAGGTACATTATGAACTATCAATTAAGAAAATACTACGCATAGACATACAATTATAATGAAAAACAATGGTTAACAGTAATAAAAATATACTTATGTTGCATGAAAAAGTGGAATTAGCAAGTATATTAATATCGTCACATACTATATGTTTAAATACATTAAAATACAATGTTAAGATAAAGTACATTAAAATAATTTCATTTCTGATTAAAGAAAGACTTTTATCACACATCTATGCCTAGATCAAAATAGTTTTCTGATACACTTTTTAAATATACTAAAAGTGAGTAGAGTATCTTTTTTAAATGAAAATAAAATAGAATACCTTTTTACCAGGAATAGGGTAGTCTAAAATGAACAGTGCTTCCTTATACCACAGAACTCCTCAACACCAATATGAACCTACCTTCAAGACCAAGGTCTTTAAGGACATGATAACCACCTGGCTGCAGAAATTCTCCAACTATCCTGTCAGGCTCTTGTAAATCTCTCTCAATTACTGTCACCTTTCTTCCATCTCTGGAGAGCACTGCTGCCAAAGCAGAGCCAAGGACACCAGATCCCACAATGATAACTTCCGGGTCATTTTGAGAAGATATCGATGTAGAGGCAGTTGCTCCTATTAAGGTGGTTTCTGAAATATTGGTTCCTTTTTTACACTGTTTCAAAAACAAAAAAAGTAAATTATTTTTTTTACTATCCTTAAATCTTATTGCTACTATACAGACACATTGGACTTTTGCATCTGGGCAAAGCTATCCCCTAACCATTACCAAACCAAATGAACCATTATGTCCTTAAATCCTGATCATATATGAAAACCAACAACACTAAAATATTGAAGAAATAAAAATGTATAATAATATCCCAATAAAATTAAGTGTATATTCCTTTTCCAAATATGGTATTTAGAAAATGCTGTGATACAGATATATTTAGAAATTCACACCAGGCAAAATATAAGAAAAATGTTTACAAGGGGCTTCAAAGGCTTATCATAGGGAAAATTCTATCATTAATTACTCAATTCTTCAAACATAGTCTGAGGATCTGCCAAATGCAAATCACATACAACTTTCAGTTGGACTTCATGTTGCAAACTATTCAGCACCTTTTACCTATTGCCACTATTCACCTTTATTTTCTCCTTCTGCACTGTCATCTGAAAAATCTACCTCAATCTAAAATCACTTCTATGTAACAAATTGTCAGATTTTCCTACTCATCTACTAATTGAAAATTATTTAACTCTACAAAATTCCAAAAAGAACAAAATAACTCGTCCCTTGGAACTTGACCTGTTCACAATTTTAGTCTTTGACATGTAAGAACATATTTAATTTACTCCTTCATTTTAACTCTGATTCTCTAAGAGAGCCTGGTCAGTAATGTCAATCAAGTTGGTCCTCCAATGTACTAATAAGGACAAACATTAAACCTATCACTAATTGGGCTGACAGTAAAAACTTTAACTTTGAACATAAGAAGATGAAAAAGTCCTGTTTTGAGAGATTTATGCCCACTGATAATAACAGTGACTGTATGGGGATTTATTTTTTATGAACAATTCAATGCTGTAGTAAGTAATTTTTTTCTTTTTTTGGCCTATGGATTCACAAATATGACTACATTTCATTTCAGGTAAAAGTTTGCAAGGAACCATCTTCCTTGAGTTCTCTGACCTTAAGGATTAAAATAAGACTGTCATTTTGAAGTGTTTTTAATAAAAGAGACCTCAGGCAGAAAGGAAGGAAATAACCCCAAAAATCCTTTAGAACTTTAATTCTCTGTGATCCTAATATTCTTTTATTATGTTTCCATAATGGACTGGGGCCTTGTCCATTCCATTTTTTATCATTTTTCTTAGGGAAATTAACTTTCTGTCCTTTACCAAGAGAAGCCGAGAGTAGACTCTTCCCATTAGTGTAGCATTTCTTACTGGCCAGAATAACTGACTATATACAAATTATTATTCTGAGAGCAAGATAAGCTCCTTTTGTCATCTTATGCCATTTCAAATGAGTTTTTCTTCAAGGTTTTCCCTATTACACACACACACACACACACACACACAGTCCTGGTGGAATGCAACACTGGAGGAAGTCAGGACCTGGTCAGGAGAAGCAGCACTGAAGGGAACTGAGTACTTAATAAAAAGCAGAAAGCCTGAGGCACTCACAGAGTGGGAGAAGGCCGACTGCAGCTAACCCAATGCTCCTACCCCAAGATCTGTCTACACAGCATGATGTGACGCCATTCCTTCAAGGACCCTGAGGGGCATTATCGCAGACAACAATACCCAAGATTTCAATCTGAGAATCAAAGTTTCCCCCTCCCTGCTCTCCCATTCCTCCATCCCACTACTCAAAAGGCTCCTAACAGATGCACCCTACCTTTAGACTAACATTAATAACTACTATTGGACAGTTATGGACCAAGCATTAAATCATTTAATTCCCTAACTACCAGTAAGGCTGCTGCTGTCCCCATCTAACAGAAGAGACAACAGTCTTAGAGAGACTAAGCCATTTGCCAAAGGCCTCACAGCCACAAGTAGCAGAACAGAACTTCTAAACCAAGCCCCTGTCTCCTGCAGGCTTGCTGACCTGTACTGTGGATGTAAAACTAATGCAACCCCGGAACCCTGACTCTGTGGGCCTCTACCCTATGTCCACCCTCACCTGGTCTACTACTGTAGTCTCTGCCCTGAAATCCTGGCTTCCATTCCTGTCTCCCTACAATCGTCTTCACACAGCAACTGGAACGCTCTTTTTAAAAAGTAAGTCAAATACTGTTACTCCAGTGCTCTCGGGAAGAGGTCCAACACCAATTGACCAATAGGCCTAGAGTTCTGGCTTAATAGCCATCATCTCCACTGTCCTCTGCTGCTTTCACAAGGATCATAACTTCGCGTGGATTTGAAACCGTCTTTGGTTTGGAAACACGACTGCACTGTGGACATTGCTCACTTACTTACCTCATCAGGGCATCGCTGCACGGATTTGCTCAAAGCCCCGGCGATGTGGAAAGAGAGCACTGTGTCCGTGGCTGCAGAGTGCTGGGCACCTTCATTCGGCCCGGCCAGCTGTCACTCTGGACACGGAGGACTCACCTGCAGCAGGTGTCCTTCTTCCGGGTACCAATTCCAACCTCACCCAAAGGATTTAAATAAAACATTTTTTTCCCATCACAGAAAGTGATTCTGTCCTCCTTCAAAATGAAATTCTAACCTTCCATGTCACCTTTTATAATCAAACCGATATGCATGATGAAATCAACATTCATAAGAACATAATTTCATTTAGTCTTGGCTCCGCCAACACTACATGAAATGTTTCCAAGTCCTTGCTAAGAGTGCCAAGGAACAGTCAAAAGCTTTTTAAAACAAAACACACAAAAAACCACAAACAAGTACATGAGAATTCATACCTGAGTATCTACGCCTCTTAGAGAAAATGGACATGTGAGTGACCCCAACCCTAGTTTTAAAATAAGACACGCATGCCTTTGACCACTTTGAATATTCAACCCACCTTCCTGGACCCGAGCTGCTCGTTCTTTTCTGTCCCCGGCGGGGATTTGGCCCAGAAGAAGCCGATGAAAGGCAGGGCCGCCAGGAGGTCCGAGAAGACGGCGAGCTGGGAGCCCTTCTGCTGGCGCCGCGGGAGGGCCCCGCCGCGGGAGCGGGCGCGGCAGCGGTAGGACAGCACCAGGCCCAGCGACAGGAACACCAGCACGCACAGCAGCAGCTCCTTGTTGGCCCACGTGACCACGTCCCCGCATTTCTTATAAAAGTACGTGAAGGTGGCAAGGCCGAGGAAGGTCCACATGGTCGATGCTGAGATCCTCTGCTGTCCTTGTAGGACGCGGATGATTGGAGATTCTCCCCAGAATGTGTTCCCAAAAGGAGCACCGGAACCGGCCCCGCTCCAAGGACCGTCCTCACAGGATTACAGTTCCAATCGGACTCATTTAGAAAATCCTAACGCGAGTATGAAAGTGTCGGAACGGGGAAGGTGGGGCTTGGCAGTCTGTCAAAACCGCCTGCTCCACAGCTCCGGGCTCAGACTCTCCTCTCTCTGGGGCCATCCATTTATGTTTCTTTCTTTCGTGAGATGGGTTTCCCTGAGGGTTGTTGCGGATGATGGTTTCAGTTCTGATGGTGGCTCATCGTGCTGTAAAACGCTCTCTCAACAGCAGCAGGTGCCCTACGAGAAGATGGAGGAGGAAAAAATCAAATACCTTGGCGCCGAGAAAAATGCTGCCTCGCCTCTTCCGCCGGCGATGGCGGGGCG